AAAAAATCTACCATAAATCACTATTCTGCTAGTAGGAAATCATTGCTAACACCTTGTTACATAGATACTTCTAGTCTTTCTATTCATTTTCTTTTATATGTAGTTGAGATAATATTGCATATGATTAACAGCTTTGAGATATAATTCACATACCATGCTATTTGCCCATTTAAAGTACACAATTCAATGGTTTCTAGTATATTCACAAAGTCATGCAACTATTGGCACAGTTAATTTTAGAATACTTCTGTCACCCCAGAAAGAAACCTGTACCCACTGGCATTCATTCTCCATGTCCCCCCATCTCCCCAGCCCTAGGCAACCAGTAATCTGCTTTCCGTTTCTAGGGATTCGCCTGTTCTAGACACTCCGTATGAATGGAATCACACAATTCGTGGTCTTTGTGTCTGGCTTCTTCACCCGGCATGTTTTCAAGGTCCATCCGTGCTGCAGTAGGAACCAGAGCGGCACTCCTTTCTAACACTGAACAGTAAGTACCCCACGGTATGGATACACCACACTTTGTCTATCCACTCATTAGCTAATGGGATTTGAGTTCTTTCTAGTTTTTAATTGTTATGAATAATGCTGCTTGAACAGTCATGTATCATTTTTTATGAATCTAACCATTTTGAGGTATATAATTCAGGGATACTGACTATACTCACACTGTCGTGCAACCATCACCACCATGTACAGCTGGGTCAGACGGTCACTCTCCGCTAACACTGTGAGGACGACTGCGCATAATTCTCATTCTGTATTTCAGAGTTTAACATTACAACATAGGGTATTTTTTCCATGTCATTAAAACTCTCTGTAAACATGACACATAAAGTTCATGACTGAACTATAAAATTTCAATGGGACCGATATCTGTACTGGATTAATTTTTTAAATTGGAAAGATAAAAAAAAAGCTTTTAAAGTTTTCTGATTAAGACGATGTCTTACGGCCACATTTTTTACCTATGTGTAATTGACAAGAAAGTTGTAGTACAACAGACGCAACATTTGTGTTTTGCAAGTGCCCTGGGATCTGCTGCCACGGCTGTCCTTGCTCAGTAAGGAGACTCTACAACTAAACTTACCGCACACTGAAAACCCTCAGACCTCTCCAACAGAACTCAAGTAATTTCCAGCTAACGTTACAAAAGTCTTCCTTCTGTTGTCTAAATTTCTGTCCACTTGTGTTGAAAATCTGTAGTCAGAGGAAGAACTGGCTCTGGTTTTGAGGCTGGAACCCAAAGTGTTGCTTTTCTGATACTTAAAAACATCAGGGTCACAGGAAAATGGCGATCACGAGGACGTAAGCAAACTCCAGTGGCTACACCTGCCAGTGACTGCACTGAGTGTCCTGCCTGTTCTCTCCTCTAAGGCTCCGACAGCCCACGACGCAGGCCCTATTTCCACGCTGTCCCCATGTCACAGGAAGCTGCCACAGTGTAAGTGGCCAGGACATGGCTGAGCAGGGGTTCCAGTAAACTTGAGGAAGAGCCACTCGCTCCTCCTTTTTCCCTGCCGTGCTGTGCTACCTGAGAGCAGAGGCGGCGTGACATGAGATCCGGCAAAAGGCAAGTACTAAGACACGCTTCCACCCCACTGCCTGTGCTCCACCAGTGTCTCTCATGAACTTAGACCCCCAAATCCTCAACAAATTAGGAAACTGAAATGCAGCAGTGTATAAAAAGAATCATACACCACAACCAAGCATGATCTATTCCAGGCAGGCAAGGCCAGCTCACACTGAAAATCGACCAGTGTCATGCATGCCACCAACAGGCTAAGAGAGAAAACCCAGACTCTCATATCAATGGGTGTAGGAAAACACTGGACAAAACCCAACCCCCACTCATGATAAAAACCCTCAGCAAACTAGAATAGAAGGGATGGAGTGTCTGGACAAGGAGTGTCTACAGGACACCCACAGCTACATCACACTTAATGGTAAAAGGCTGAATGCTTCCCCAAGGTCAGGAGCAAGGCAAAGAGGCTCCAGAGCCCGCACTTGGAAGCCTGTGCTATATGAGCTCTGCATATCTCTCTGAAGAAAGGTATTATGCAGCATTTTTATAAACAAGCAATTTTAAACCAGAAAGGCAAATTGCAATGCAGAACACTCACCTAGAAGAGGCACTTGCCCCTGCCTGGATAAGAGTCGGCAGGACAGCAATGAACAGGCCCAGCTGCACATCCTGTGTCACCAGCATCCCCAGCAGCACTGCACCATGGTCGACGTCGCCTGCTGGGCAGAAACATAGGTTTGCAGCAACGAAAAGTGCCTATGTCAAAATATAGCTATTGCGCATGTTTCCAAAACAATCCAAGCAGCGCTGGCACTTGAGATAAGGATGACCTTTAAAATCACTCAGAGCAAACACTGAAGCTTTCATGTGTAACTTCTCCATCCTCCCTAAGCTGCTCCTGGCAGGCCTGACGCAAGTCCCTTCCGGCCACATGTGTGCATGTTCCACGTGTGCAAACACACTGTCACCACCACCCTGAACAGCACCTCCCTCTGAGACATGTGCAGACTTGGGGAAAAAACACTGGCTCATTAGATGGACAGAGCAGAATAGAAGTGACCTTTACTGGTTGAAGAAAGAAGAAAGGAAAACGATACGTTTCTCACAAATTCAACACTTTGCACAGGCCTCCATTTTCAACAAACAGTTTTGCCTTTGGGCCCTTTAGATATGTCATACAAGGTATTTTTTTCTTTTAAAAAAGCTATTACTATTAACAGATTATTGAAGACCAATCTGATAGAACAAGCTTACATAAAAAGAAGCAGAACAAGCAAACAAAATGAAAATCCTCGCTGCCAGCAAACGCCTCATCTTGACAGGAAGTTCAGGGGACCCTTTCAGGAGGCTTGTTTTACTTATCTTACAAAATTACATTTTTGGTGAAAGAAATGCATGGGTTAGGGTTTTGAGACACTCTAAGTGGATGAGCACATTAGGCTGTTGTCACTACAGCTTTGCTTTTGAGAGCTGCACAGTTCAGGAGGTAGCAGAGAGTAATACTGAATGTCTGGGGCGCTTCAAACATTGATGATTTTTCCATAGGTTCACGATGGCCAAGCCGCTCTTGAGCTTGGCCACATTTGCTAGGTCTGAAGCCCGCAGTTGCTGTGTGGCAGGCACTCCCACAGATCAACACCTTCAAACCTGTGGCCATGACTGTGCCCCTGCTTACATAAAGGAAATAATAAAATCGCTTGTTACATCTCATTTTTTAGAGATAGCATTTGATGAGATTTTGCCAGCATTGTGTAATATTTTAAAATTTTCTCTTTGCACCTGATCACAGTGAACTGACTTAAATCCACAGACATTCAACTCTCATCTGCTAGACCGTAGGCACCGCAGACTGGAAACCAGGTCTTCACGTGGCACCTGGTGCAGGACCAGCACCCATGCCTGCAGTGCCTGCGCTCTGGAAATATCTGTTCCTCAGTGAATTCACTGAACCTACAATAGAAAGACAAACGCTTATAGCAGTGATAAGCATAAAAAAGAGTGAAATCAGACAGAGATGAAGATAATTATTCACACTGAAATACTGAAAATTAAAGACTCACCACTTAACATTTTTCATTTTTTTCTGCACCTTGCACTAGTTTAATTTTTGTTCTTTTGCTTATCACTACTATAAGCATATTAATTTCTTTCTGTTTTGCATTCCTTTTATTAAGCAGTTTAAATGTACATAAAATATGAATGCCAACATACTCAATACTGAATTTTGCTAAATTTTAAACTTTTGGCATAATCGCTTCAGATTTCTAAAAAGAAATACAACACTGCAGATTCTCCAGGAGCCCTCTGAGCCACCTGCTGCTGGACCCCACTGTCCCCACCAACCCAGTGCCCTGTCTGTGACATCTATCACCCCCGTGAGTGCACATCTACTTTAGCACAGTAAAACCTATGCATCTAGAAACAACACTGAGTTTATTATTTTGTAATCTTAAACTTTATATAATCGACATTTCTGCACCTTGCTTTTTGTGCTCACTGCTATATCTGAAAATTATCCATGTTGATGCACAGAGCTCTGGTTCACTTTTAAAACTTGTAGAATATACCACAACTTATCCATTCATCTGTGGATGAACATTCGGGTTTTCAATGCTGTAATGAATATCCTTGTACACTGACTGCAAAAATCTCCCTTCCCTTTGCTTATACTTTCACAAGAAGGGAGTTTTCCTGACTGCTCTTGGCTTACCTGTGTATTAGTCCATTCCTGCTGCTTAGGTTCACTTTTAAAACTTGTAGAATATACCACAACTTATCCATTCATCTGTGGATGAACATTCGGGTTTTCAATGCTGTAATGAATATCCTCGTACACTGACTGCGAAAATCTCCCTTCCCTTTGCTTATACTTTCACAAGAAGGGAGTTTTCCTGACTGCTCTTGGCTTACCTGTGTATTAGTCCATTCCTGCTGCTTATAACAAAATACTTAGAACTGGGTGATTTATAAAGAAAATGAAATTTACTGCTTACAGTTTCTGAGGCTGGGATGTCCAAAGTCCATCCGGTGGTGGCGACAATGACCCAGGGGTCCCAAATGCAAGATGGTGAAAGCAGAGAGACCAGAGAGAGAGAGAGACAGACTCCTCTCTTCTTTTAAAGCGCTCAGAACCATGCCCCTCACCACCATTTTTAATCTATTTACTACCGTAGGGTCCTACAATCCAATCACCTCTTCAAGGCCCCACCTTTCAATTATCATAATGGGATTTCCCACCCTCTTAACCATCACAGTGGGGGCCAAGTTTCTAATACATAAAACTTGGGGAACACAATTCAAGCTTCGATGAGTTTTCGGGGGCTGTAATTCAATCTACTACACCCTGCTTGCACTACTCCTGGAGACAGGGCACTCTGTGGTCCTCCAGTGGACCAGCTGGCCACAGCGCCTGTCTGGGAGTTCCCAAGCAGCCCTGAGCTTTCCAGGCAGCCCCGCCCCCCGGGAGCCTCTGTAGGTCAGTGCTGCACGTGGCTGGGCAGGCAGGCTTGCTCCAGGTTAAGAATGAGACTTATGGAGCCCACCACCAGTGTTCGTTGGGGCCATGTCTCCCGAGCCACCACTCACCACAACCAGGCTGCTGCTCTGGCCTGCAGCTGCCCAGCTCCCTTGTTGCCTGTCTGTCCTCCTATGGGCTCTCAGCACAGGCACGGCAGAGTGGAGTTACTCACTGTACCCCGTTGAGGGTTTAGGCCCCAATATCTCATGCACTGGCTGGAAAACTTGAGAACAGAAAAGAAGCAGAATTTGGGCAAAAACAACACTATACAAACAACAAAGACCCACATAGGAAGAGTGAGTGAAGCTTCTGGTGCAGACAAGGGTAGGTAACTTTTAAGCTTTGGTGGGACAGTATTAAATTTGGACTATGTAGAAAATTTTAATAAAATGTTCAACTTATGCCAAAGTAGGAAGAATAATACAATGAATCTGCAGGAACAGACAGTCCAGTTTCAATTACTAACTCATGACTAATCTTGTTTCCTATATTAACCTCCATCCCATCCTCATAAAGGAGGCCCAGATATCCTATTAGCCATAAATCTCAGTGTGTACCTCTGAGAGAAAAGGCTAGCATCCACACTGGAAAGCACCATAAAAACAACAAAGACCCACGTAGGAAGAGTGAGTGAGGCTTCTGGTGCAGCCAGGGTAGGTAACTTTTAAGCTTTGGTGGGACAGTATTAAATTTGGACGATGTAGAAAATTTTAATAAAATGTTCAAACTTATGCCAAAGTAGGAAGAATAATACAATGAATCTGCAGGAACAGACAGTCCAGTTTCAATTATTAACTCATGACTAATCTTGTTTCCTATATTAACCTCCATCCCATCCTCATAAAGGAGGCCCAGATATCCTATTAGCCATAAATCTCAGTGTGTACCTGTGAGAGAAAAGGCTAGCATCCACACTGGAAAGGAAAAATTAAGCTATCTCTGTTCACAGATGACAGTATTTTATATGAAGAAAATCTCACTCAAAAAACCTGTGAGACCTAGTAAAACAATTCAGAAAGTTGCAGGATACAAAATCAGCACACAAAAATCAGTTACTTTACTATACACTAACGAGAAACAATCTAAAAAGGAAACACGAAAATTCCATTTACAGTAGATCAAATGAAGTTAACCGAGAAGCAAAAGACATGTGCTCTGAAAACTTCAAAGCATTGCTAAAAGATATTAAAGACAACATAAGTCAATAGAAAGACATCTGGTGTCGTGGACTGGAAGACTTAACACTATTTAGATGTCAATCTGCCCAAGTTACTACTACAAATTCAATGTAATCCCTATCAAAATCCCAACAACGTTTTCTTAATAAATAGAAAAACCCTTAAAATTCACACATAATCTCAAGAGACCCCAAGCAGCCAGAACAATCTCAAGAAGAACAAAGCTGGAGGACTCACA